AAAAAAAAAAAAAAAAAAATTGACAAACTAAACCTTTTCAATTTCATCAATTCAGTGGAGCAAATGACAATTCATTCCCAAAATTCAGTATATTTATGTAAACAAAAAAAAAGATAAAATAAAGTCAAAATTAATGCATCGCAAATAGAAGCTTTTTAGATCCGATCACGAAAAATGCAAACAGATAAAATCAGAAAAAAAAGTGAGAGAGAGAGAGAGAGATTACGGCGGTTTTGAGGAGCTCATCGGTGTAAGATCCGGCGCGGATAACATTAACACGGCGAGTAGAAGACGGCAAACGGCAGGAAGATCCTGATCGTTGATTAAACGATTGTTGACCGATCAATGAAGATGAAGAGGCGTTTAGCTTCAACAGACTGGAACTTGCTGCCATTTTTTGAGAGTCGCCTCTTCTTTTTGCTCTGTGAAAATAGTGCTTTTTTTTGGTTGAGAATTGGTAGAGACGGCTACTGCTAAATAATGGAGAGCGACGTTCGGGGTTGGTGGGAGACGGCTTTAACAAGAGGAGTGTAAACAGAGTTTTGTTTTTTGGGTTCCTCGAAAAGTCCGCTGGTAAAACAGTACGGACAACTCTAGTTGCCGAGCTATCAAATAATACGAAAAAATGTACTTATATTTTTAGCGCTCTAAAAACTAATCGATTAAATATACTATATTTTTTACTATATATNCTGAAGAGGGTAGTATGTACTCGAATCTTATCCCTATCTCATAGAGATAGAGACTTAGTTTTTGATAGACACTCGATTCAAGGAACAATGAAGATAAAGTAATCAAGTAGCAAAGAATATTAACAACAATATAATATAATAACGGACGTGAATGATACAACATGCATAATAAAGAACCATAAATAAGACTAACGAAGATAAGTTTATATATATTTTACTAACGAAGATAATCTTAAATGTTGTCCAAATAATATCAATTGTTCGTATAGGATGTGCATATTTCGGCTTGGTATGGAATGATTAATTTTAGCGTCTGAATTTTGCTTAAGATAATATAATATTTGATTTATAGCATAAGAAATAAGTAATCCTTACATACATTTAGTTTGTGATATTTAATAATATATGTATTAAGTTGTGCGAGAAGTTATATACATAATTTTATATGGGACAAAATATGTAACAAGAATAAATGTATAAATAATGCAGGGAAAGGGTTCGACTATTTTTTTTAAAATATATATATATATATATAAAATACATGCATTATAATCGTGGCATAAACGACCGTATATATATATAAAATACATGCATTATAATCGTGGCATAAACGACCCCATTGTATTATATGAAAGGTTATTATAGGTGTTTGTAATTGCGTTTGATTTAACTTTCATGAAAATAAATTCCTATCGATTAGTTTTGATTCTTTTTTCTTGTTTGTTTTTTACGGGTTTTTTTTAAATAAGAATTGTAAATTCAATTTATTAGAGTTATCAAAAAAAAAATCCATAAGTTAATACTATATATTTAGCAAAAATTGAACAAATGGACGAATTTATATATGATGCATTGAAACATCAATATTCTTGGGATTGTTTCGTCTATATATGAGAATTTAAATTTATTTATCCGGCTTTGTCTAAGTTTCAGATTTACATAAAGTAACTAAAGTTTTTTTTACAAAATATATACAAATTCGGTCAAAATCTGCAATTTATTTACAACTTAAATACATATTTTTTGTACCAAATCCTATCAAAAATTACAATTTACATATAATTTATATACAACTTATATATAATTAAGTCATAAGAGGGAATTTTAATGGTCATATTGGGTTGTCCGTTGGTGGTTACATCGAGGTGCATGAAGGCTTCGGTTTTGGGGAGAGGAACGGAGGAGGTACCTCACCGTTGGACTTCGCTAAGGCTTTTAGGTAGGTGATTGCGAACTCAAGCTTTCCGAAGAAGGAGGAGCATTTGGTTACTTTTCAAAATTCGGTGGCGAAGACTCGGATTGACTATCTCCTCCTCTGGAGGTGTGACAGAGGGTTGTACAAGGATTGCAAGGTTATTCCGGATGAGATTCTCGCGACGCAGCATAGGCTCTTAGTGATGGACATTGGTATTATGTTAAAGAGGAGGAAAAGGTATGCCCGAGGAAGACCTAGAATCAGGTGGGGATCCTTGACTAAGGATAAAGCCCAAGAGTTGGAGGGGCGGTTGTCAGATATGGGAGCCTGGAGGAGCAGTGGTGATGCGAGCATTATGTGGTCGATGATTACAGACAGTATAAGGGAGGCTGCGAGAAAGGAGTTTGGGGTCTCGACGGGCATTTCTGGCGGGCATAAAGGAGATTGGTGGTGGAATGAAATAGTCCAAGGTAAAGTGAAAGCGAAGAAGACGGCGTACCTGAAGTTAGTAGGAAGCATATGTGAGGAGGGGAGGTGAACGTGCATGGAGAGGTATAAGGTAGCTAGGAAGGAAGCTAAGATGGCAATCACGGAGGCTAAGACTGCGGCTTATGGTCGTATGTATGAGGAACTGGGGGGGAAAGGCGGAGAGAAGAAGTTATTCCGGCTGGCCAAGACGAGAGAGATGAGGGCTCGGGATTTGGATCGAGTGAGATGCATCAAGGACGACGATGATAGAGTATTGATGGAAGATGCCCAGATTAAGAGGAGATGACAGACTTACTTTCATAAACTTCTGAATGAAGAAGGGGATCGGGATATTGTGCTAGGTGAACTGGAGCATTCTGAGAGTTACTGTGACTTTGGGTACTGCGCATCGAGGTTGAGGAGGTCGTGGGAGCTATGCGTAAGATGAGTAGGGGCAGAGCGACCGAGCCAGACGAATTTTCGATTGAATTTTGAAAGTGTGTGGGTAGAGAAGGTTTGGAGTGGCTGACTGGGTTGTTTAATGTTATTTTTAGGGCGAAGAGGATGCCTGATGAGTGGAGATGAAGTACGATGGTTCCGTTGTATAAGAACAAAGGTGATATCCAGAGTTGTAACAATTATAGGTGTAGCAAATTACTGAGCCATACCATGAACGTTTGAGATAGGGTGATTGAAGCGAGGGTGAGGATGACAGTTCCTATATCCGACAACCAGTTCGGGTTCATGGCGGGTCGTTCTACTACAGAAGCTATACACCTTGTTAGGAAGTTGGTGGAATAGTACATAGAGAGGAAGAAGGATCTGCACATGATGTTTATTGACCTTGAGAAAGCATATGACAAGGCTCCTAGAGAAGTTCTCTAGAGATGCTTGGAGGCAAAAGGTGTGTCGGCTGCCTATATTAGGGCAATTAAGGACATGTATGATGGGGCTAAGACTCGGGTTAGGACAGTAGGAGGCAACTCTGAGCATTTTTCGGTTGTTATGGGGTTACACCAAGGTTTCGCGCTTAATCCATTCTTATTTTCCCTGGTGATGGACGCGTTAACACACCATATTCAAGGGGAGCCGCCATGGTGTATGCTATTTGTTGATGACATAGTTCTCATTGATAAGTCCCGAGACGGTGTTAATGAGAGGCTGGAGGTTTAGAGACAGACTCTTGAATCTAAGGGTTTCAAGTTGAGCATGACGAAGATGGAATACCTGGAGTGTAAGTTCAGCTCTGAGCCGAGGGAAGTGGGCGTGGATGTGAGGCTTGAATCACAGATCATCCCAAGTAGAGGCAGTTTCAAGTTCCTCGGATCGGTTATTCAGGAGGGATGGGAGATTGACGAGAATGTCAAACACCGTATTGGGGTAGGATGGATGAAGTGGAAGTTAGCATCTGGAGTCCTGTGTGACAAGAGAGTGTCACCGATACTCAAAGGTAAGTTCTATAAAGCAGTGGTTAGACCGGCCATGATGTATGGGGCTGAGTGTTGGCTTGTTAAGAACTCACATATCCAGAAGATGAATGTAGCAGAAATGAGTATGTTGAGGTGGATGTGTGGACACACTAGGATGGATAAGATTAGGAATGATAATATTCGGGAGAAGGTGGGCGTGGCTCCCATTGATGACAAGATGCGGGAAGCGAGGCTCAGATGGTTTGGGCATGTACACAAGAGAAGCCAAATGCTCCGGTAAGGAGGTGTAAGCAGCTGGATGTGGAGGGTACGAGAAGAGGTAGAAGGAGGCCTAAGAAGTACTGGAGAGAGGTGATCAGGCAGGATATGGCTAGGCTTCAGATTTTCGAGGACATGGCCCTTGATAGGAAGTTGTGGAGGTCAAGTATTAGGTTTGTGGATTAGGAGATAGTTGAGTCTAGCCTTACTTCGTACCTTTGTGAGACTAGTCTGGTAGGACTTTTATCTAAGATAGCAAGTGGTAATGTTGTGTCTTACTACTCTTTCATTTCTCATAGTGCCGGGTCTATTTACTGGCTATCGCTTTTGCTTTGCATTTATGTTCTGGTTTTCATGTTGTTGTTATTTTTTCTATGATCTTTGTGGTGGTACTGATATTGTTTCATTTTGTCTTCTTGAGCCGAGGGTCTTTCGGAAATAACCTCTCTACTCCTTTGGGGTAGAGGTGAGGTCTGCGTACACACTACTGTCCTCAGACCCCACTAGTAGGAATTTACTGGATCGTTGTTATTGTTGTTTTTGTTGTTATATACAATTAAGTAAGTTACAGATATTTTCTATACCGTTTCTACACTCGACATACAAAATATATACAATTTGTTTATGTCTTCTTTTTAGAGTTTCAATATGAAATTTCAACCAAAACCACATCGAATCTTCACCAAATTCTCTCAAAATTGGGATATAAACTCCAAAGAATTTTTTCAATTATTTGCAACAACACCCAATCCAAATAAAAAATAATTTTGTAAATTTCGATTTTCGAATTCAAAGTTTCTAAACTTTCTAATGGATTAACATATTTTTCAATTCAATCTTCTCGCTTCTGATTGATATTATTTTGTTTATTGATTCCAAAATACTAAAAGAAATTAACGATCTTCCCTCATTCAAAAGTGATAATTCGTTCATTGTTACATATAAAAAACAGGAAAAAAATATATAATAGAATTGCTTGATGCAAATCTCTTTGTTCTCGTAAAGGTATGGCTGAAGTTGAGGAGAAAGAGGCCAAATATTCTTCTGTTAATTTATATTCCTGGGAGAGAGAGTTTTAAATACCTCTGGTCAATTATACAAGGAAATTGAGAGATCGACGAGGATGTTACACATCATATTGAGGCAGGATGGATGAAGTGGAGGCTCGCTTAATGATAAGAATATGCCACCTAAACTCAAAGGCATGTTTTATATAGCGGTGATCAGACCGACTATGTTATATGGGGCGGAGTGTTGGCCAGTCAAGAACTCTCATGTCCAAAAGATAAAGGTGGCTGAAATGCGGACGTTGAGATGGATGTGCGGGCATACATGGCTAGATAGAATTAAAAATAAAGTTATTCGGGACAAGGTGGGCGTGGACCCTGTGGAGGACAAGATGCGGGAGGCGAGACTTAGATGGTTCGGGCTTGTGAAGAGGAGAGGCACAGATACTCCGGTGAGGAGATGTGAGAAGTTGGCCCTGAAGGGCATAAGGAGAGGTAGAGGTAGGCCGAAGAAGTATTGAGGGAGAGGTGATTAGACAAAATATGG